ACCTCGCCTAATCTGGTCCCATCAGCACCCCCAGCGGGACTCGAACTCTGACAGTGCCGCGTATAATCTCAATACATTAACCACTACGCCACATTGCTCCGAGTGTTCTTGGATCATAGGGCAGATGTGCCTTTCAAGGAAAACCAGGCATTTTCTAATATCACACTATGTCGGTGAAGCAAAGTTAGATTTGCTATAGCAATCGATGACAATACTTATTTATCGTTGATAAATAGGTTATCGAGCTCATTTCTGTATCTAATGCAATTGTGTGATGAAGGGGATTCGAGAGTCGATCCAACCGTAAAACTAGAGCGGACGTTTCTTGATCAGCTTCTAGTTGGTCGTCGTCATCTGGTAGGATCCACCTTAAAATTTTTTCCCCACCAGACTGAGGCGAGCTCAAAAATTAAGTACTATTTAACGGTGTTGTCAGGCCTACTCATATCACCTTGGGAAAATCACACTATTACATCTTATATCACCTTAATAGCCTAGGATGACCAAATTCTCGCGCAACTTATCCTAAAGTGGGCTTTATTCGAATATGTTCGATTACGGATACAATTATTATTTATATAATTTCTGACTGTGTGTCTGTGTATGGGTGTATGGACAATCACCAGTTTGTCGCTAGAGGGTGTCCGTTTGTGTCGGTGTTTAGTTTACCGTGGACAGGGTACATTCTACCTCCAGACTCTAACAGAGACCGTCGAGAAAACAGCTTCCGGCGCCGTTCGCCATGTTCTCCTCCATTTACCGCCCAGAAACGAGGGAACCCGCGAATCTTGGCCAAGAATCTGGTTGCCACATGGACGTGGCAACTTGGTTGATGCCATGCTAGTCGCAGGCAGAAGGCCACCGAGCCGACAGCCTGAGTCATCATTCGTAGAACTTCGGTTAGTGCAAAGTCTTTTGCCAGTCTCAGCATGAGAATTCGGACAGTCTAGCCCACAAGGGGGCTATCAAGCCTCTTTCGACAGCAGCATGTTAGAGGCACAGCTACTACGCCATCTGTGAGCAAAGATACCGCAATTATCGCCCAAGCACACATCGTCTGCGTCTGTCGCAAATAACTCGACTATTCTTCAATATTTAACTTTTCAGGAAACATGGATGTGTGTATGGTTTGAGCATGAAGGCGAAATAAATCTGCTCTGTGTTAGAAACCCATCACATTTGCTTCATCCCGTGTAAGGGTCTCCTCTCATACCAAATTAAAGTCAAGTACAAATCAGTATTCTCTGGCCTTTATGCGAAGCTAAATCCCATAACCAAGAGTTGACCTCTGCGCCTAGTATCCCAAAGCATCAATGGTACAGAATGTGTGCTTGTGTACGAGTTTGCGTTTGATTAAGTAATGACAGGCTTTCTGCTAATTTCGGCTCTACTTGACCAAAGGAAATTCCAATTTTATACCTACTTTAAGGGGAGATGGCAGGAG